AGAGCTGTCTTTTCTGCAGCAAGAACTAAGCAAGCAGAGCCTGCTGAATAATATGGCTGCCCACAACAGATCCTTTCTAATGCTCTAGATGTGTCCTAGACAAAATGCCACATAGTACTCCTGCTGCCAAGGGTCTGGCTTGTCCAAATGCAGAACAGGCTAAAATGGCCTTAAAGCAGGGATGGGATTAGGTTGGGACCTTGCCTGTAGCAAAGTAGGAGTCAGTCTAGTGGCTAGGGGTGAGGATGGGATAGGTTACACTAGATACCCATTTGGGGAGGGAAGGGAAAGGGTGGTTTTTCTGCTGGTTGCTTGACTAGAATAGTCTGAAGAATTTTAGCTGGAAGGAGAAAAATGAACATAGTTCAAGGATGCTTGTCTGGTCTGATGCTCTGTAACTTGGCTTTGATCTCTGGTGCTGCCAGTCAGATGAGGTGAACAGCTCTATCCTAAGTGAGGCCAAGAGCTTGGGACTGTTGCAACTTGAATGTCTACTTTTTTTGCTGACTAGGTTCTTTGGGTGAATCTGAGAGATTTTATTAGACCAACTGAAATAGTTGGGGGGTGGGGGGGGTTCTTGGCAAGTTTTCGGGTCTAAAAAGCCTTTGTCAGGCTGAGGAAGCCTCTGCAGTTTGTGTGCTCTTCCTGGATGGAATAAATAGTAAAGAAGCCAAAGGCTGGGTTGGTCTGCATGTGAGGCAGGCAGGCAGTTAGTGAGAATGTAAATTGAGGAGTCAGTGGGTGATGGACAGGCTGGGTGGGGAGAGAGAAGGGGGATGAATGTAGCAGGTAAATAGTGGAGAGGTACCTGGGGAGTCGGATATCAGGCAGTTTCTAATGAGTTGTAAGTCCAATGTCTATATTTAGTCCATGGCTTGTTAGGAGACCAGGCTCTATGAATTCCAAGCAATATCTATACTGGGGAGCTCTTGCAGGCCCAGCTATGTGGGTGGAAGATGTGATGAGGTGTGATCTCTGACACTGTACCAGGAAAAATCTTCCCCACCCCTGCCTTCCCATGTAGGTAGCTTTTATTGGTGTTCTTTGGCTGGGGGAGGAGGGGGCTCAAGTGGGAGAGAGGATGGTAGCACACCAAGGCAGAATACAGCACAGCTTTGTTCTGCCAGGATAGATTGGTGGCAAACACTGTGGAAAGGCAAAGGCCACTTTTCTAAGGAGGGTAGTACTTGAAGACCACTTGAAAGCTGTAGTTCTGGGAAGTTCTTGGGTAGCTTCTTTTGTCTAGAAACGAGTCTTTTATTGTTCTGGGGAGGATGGGGGTGGGTCTGAGATGACACTTACCTTGTACTATCTGTTGGGCTTGCTGGCATAATTAATCCTAGGAAAGAGATGCAAACATATGTTCTTGTAAGTGGGAGAGACTTCAGGGGAAAAGTAGGTCTCCTGTAACTTTTTTTTGGGGGGGGGGGAGGGAAGGGGAGCAGAGGGGGGCCTTGCCTGACTCTTGAACATGGAGGAAGCTTGCACAGTTGGCTACTAAAACTAGGGACGAGTTTTTGTTTTGTTTTTGTTTTGTCCCCCCCCCCCAAATCCAAAACTTGGATGAGTTTATACCTGTAGTGTGGTGGACCAGGGGCATGCACTAGTGTTCACTTTTTTGGGAAAGAGGGAGGGGGGAAGGCTTAACACTGAGCTGTGACATTAGGCAGTAACCTCCTCACCCCTCCAGGGTAAGAAATGTCTAGAAACGAGTCTTTTATTGTTCTGGGGAGGATGGGGGTGGGTCTGAGATGACACTTACCTTGTACTATCTGTTGGGCTTGCTGGCATAATTAATCCTAGGAAAGAGATGCAAACATATGTTCTTGTAAGTGGGAGAGACTTCAGGGGAAAAGTAGGTCTCCTGTAACTTTTTTTTGGGGGGGGGGTAGGGAAGGGGAGCAGAGGGGGGCCTTGCCTGACTCTTGAACATGGAGGAAGCTTGCACAGTTGGCTACTAAAACTAGGGACGAGTTTTTGTTTTGTTTTTGTTTTGTCCCCCCCCCCAAATCCAAAACTTGGATGAGTTTATACCTGTAGTGTGGTGGACCAGGGGCATGCACTAGTGTTCACTTTTTTGGGAAAGAGGGAGGGGGGAAGGCTTAACACTGAGCTGTGACATTAGGCAGTAACCTCCTCACCCCTCCAGGGTAAGAAAGGGAAATGGCTGAACAAGCCCTAGAACTGTTCCTGGAAAATTTTAACTGGGCTACCCAAAGAAATAAGCTTCTTAGGAGATCAAAGCAGTTTGCAAGGGGAATAGTTTTATGACTAGCCCCCTGTCCTCAACTCCAGCTGAGCGTGAGGGAGAGACTAACTGGCAGAAGAGCACTGCCTAGTTCAACATTAACCGGTAGAATGCTGCAATTGCAAAGGCATGCATTTCCTTGTCCAGGGTATTAGGGAGAATTGTGAGAGCTGGGGGAGGAGAGGGGGTAGAGAGTTGTGTGTCCTGAACTCATAAGTGAAGCAGCCCTCCAACTGCAGGGACAGCTGGAATAGGATAAGGAGAAATGAAACTAATAGCTCACCCAGGCAGTGGGTTTAAGCTCACTACCGCTGAGAAGTATCTTCTTGCCTGTCTCAGGCCAGAAAGGTTGAGCTCCAGAGGCTCCGTGATTTGAGCATTTGAAGGCAGTACAAGAGATGTCAAACTGATAGCATCAGTTCCATGATGGTGGGTGGTCTGCAGCACTCAAGGTACCATGAGAGTCTGGGTGGACTGGCAACTGTCCAAATTGCCACTTCCTATTGGACTTCTATGTGCTCACTAGCAGCTGACTTAAAGCTTCAGCTGCCTGCACACAGCATTGCCTTGACCTCTTGCTGCATGGAGCTAAATCACTTTGGCTTGCTCACAAACCAGGGGACTCCCCAAGGGGAGGTGTGGTGAGCCAGATCAGGAAACTGCAGAGCCCAAATTCTGGCAGTAGCTAGGGGTAAATCTAGGACTTCCCCTCTACCCGCAAGCTTCTTGTGTACAAAACTGTCTTTCCTAGCTCGGTGTAGGGCTTGATCCTAGGTTTTTAATATAACAAATGTAAGTTTTGGCTCCTCATTTGTGTTGCCTCTCTTTATGGTGCTTTGACAGGTCTCATCTCTTCTGGGAGAAACTGCCCATAAAAAGGGGCAACTCATGCATATGTATCTGACTGCTCTTTTTAAAATCTCTACAACCTATTTCCAGCAAGTAATCAAGAAACTAAAAGCAATGGCCATGGCTTAAGACAAGATGGAGAAAAATGCTCCACTCACGTGTCTACCAGGGATCTTGGATCTTCTGTTTTTACCTATCCAGCTAAAAGGGGAAATGGGCAGCTGCAAAATGTGCTTGTACAGGCTGAGCACTTAAGTTTAGAAGTGCCAACTGCATGATGTTACAAATGGGAGGAAGACCCTCCTTGGGAAGTGAATGAGCTCCTTTGAAGTAAGCCAGGGTACAGCAAGTCTCTTCAATGTGGGTCTTCAGCAGGACTCTTTTCCCACCTGGTGACAGTCTTTCCACTTGGATGTGGTGCTGGAATGGCCTGCCTTGTTTCTGAACTTCCTGGCATTGGTGAAGGAAATGCTACCTGTTTAATTTGAGGCGTATGATGGCCCCTCTGATCTAATGGTGAAAATGGTTTCTTAGCTGATGGAAAGCTTCAGTAGGTCATGCCCTTTCTGAGATCTTGTTGACAGCTGCCAAAAACTACTGTTTAACAGAAGTTCCCAGTTGGGGTTTTTTACCCCTCAAATTTGACTAATGCCATAAGTAACTTCCCTGTTCAAAATGGGTTCCCTCTTCCTTTTTGCCAGTGGGGCTGAAGATGGCAAGATGTCAGTCACTTTTCCCCTGCAGCTTATCTGCTTTTTGGAGGGAAGACTGTCCTTGGAGATGGTAACTGCCTCCTTATCTATGGGTAGGTCTTCAGCTTCACTGAGAACTGGCTGTTCCTATATGCTCTAGGGTATGACACTGGGGCTAGTCACCAGATAAGACCCAGTGAAAGATGCATGTGGGGTAGAATGATGGTTGAAGGGGAGCTGTAGATGGTGGATGGCCTGGGAGATGGAAGAGCAGTTCAGGCAACCTCCTGTGAACTCTTCTATGTGCGATAATACTGCCTGCAGGAAGGCTTCTTGCAATGATGAAAGCTCCTCTTGCTTACATGACCTTTTTCTTTTTGAGGGCTATGCAGCCTGAGCTCTGATTCCCAACCAAGCAATAACCTTCTGCCATCCATGAGCATCTTCTCTACCTGGTACTCTTACAACAGCTCTTCCCCTTCTCTTCATGGCCTCTTCTTGCTCAGCACCTCATATCTGGTGGAGACTTATACCTAGTTTATGTAGCTGCTTCCCAGGTCCCTTTTTAGTTCTTGTACCAATTGTGGGGGGCGGAGAGGGGAATGGAAATAACAAACTTGCCCTAGAGGCTAAGGGAATGTGGACTCTCCACTTTGATTTGCCCGATGGAGGAATGCTTTCGTGGGCGTGAAGGCTGGATCACAAATGAGAACCCTCGTGGCAACGGAGAGGAGCTGGTTAACAGACCACTTCTAAGGCTGGCAGTACTGCTAGCCAGGCCATATTTCAGGACTAAAGTAACTTCCAGTCAGAAGGGGGTTTCTCAGAAATCAGTGTGCTTGGATTAAAAACATGTGTTTTTTGACACTAGAGCACAGCTTATTTCATACTGAGGGGCAGAGTCTGGGCCTTTGTCCACACCCAAACTAGAGAGCTGTGCAAACCAAAATCCTGCATAGGTCTAAAATCCCCCTGGAGACTGGCTCTAGCATATACAGGCTTAAGCACCTCCTTTTTGGTTCCTTCCACTGTGAAGGATCTAGCACTGCCTTTTGAAGATGATGCTGACTTCAGAAGTGAATAACTTCTCTTGCTTTAGGTGGCTGGCAATTTATAGCCCACAGGCTGGATCCAGCCTGCAGAGTTGGATACTGAAAAAAAATAAAAATAAAACCTGTTTTTTGGTACTCAGTATTGACCATATCTCCTAGGTACGGACACTGTTTGTCAGTGGTCTTCCTGTTGACATCAAACCCAGAGAGCTCTACCTGCTCTTCC